AAAAAAAAAAAAAAAAAAAAAAAAGAAAAAAAAGAAAAAAAAAATCTATGATCCAAATCTGAGATAAATTTGCGTGGAGGGAGAAACTGGAATATCTTGCTAAAAACAGGCTACTTGCTAATCTCTCCTTAGAAGAGGAGGAGGTAAACACTAAACATCAACTTGTTCTAACAGGGAAGATTCAAACCCTAAGTATAATAAATGGGGGATTACGGGTTTGGAGTGTTAGTGCAAAACAACACTGGAAATAAGTCAGCTTTTCCAGTCAGATTTCATCCACATCTGCAGCCTCCACACCATCATCAAAATGCAACCCCCAGCCCTGCTGCTTTTATAAATAATAACACAGCTGCCAATGGCAGTAGTGCTGGGTCAGCTTGGCTCTTTCCTGCTCCAGCTGCCCATAATATTCAGGATGAGATTCTGGGGTCAGAAAAATCTAAAGCTCAGCAACAGGAAAAGCAAGAGTCCCTAGAAAAACAGCAACTTTCCCCCAGTCAAAGTCAGGAAGCAGGCATGCTCTCTGAGCCCGAGAAAGCTAAAACTGAAGAAAATCAGGGCGATAATTCTTCGGAGAACGGCAATGGAAAGGAGAAAATAAGAATAGAATCGCCGGTGTTAACAGGATTTGATTATCAAGAGGCTTCGGGGCTCGGTTCTTCGACACAGCCCTTGACATCCACCGCATCTTCTCTGACTGGTTTTAGTAACTGGTCTGCGGCGATAGCTCCTTCTTCTTCTACGATAATCAATGAAGATGCAAGTTTTTTTCACCAGGGAGGGGTCCCTGCTGCCTCAGCTAACAATGGTGCTCTGCTGTTTCAGAATTTTCCACATCACGTCAGCCCTGGCTTTGGTGGTAGCTTTTCCCCTCAAATTGGACCCCTCTCTCAACACCACCCTCATCACCCCCATTTTCAGCATCATCACAATCAGCATCAACAACAGAGGAGGTCTCCTGCAAGTCCTCACCCACCACCATTCACGCATAGAAATGCTGCTTTTAATCAGTTGCCTCATTTGGCTAATAATCTAAACAAGCCACCTTCTCCATGGAGCAGCTACCAAAGTCCATCGCCTACACCATCTTCATGGAGCCCTGGGGGCGGTGGATATGGTGGGTGGGGTGGGTCCCAAGGTCGAGACCACCGCCGGGGACTGAACGGAGGGATAACGCCCCTGAACTCCATCTCGCCCTTAAAGAAGAATTTTGCCAGTAATCATATCCAGTTGCAGAAATATGCTCGACCCAGCTCAGCCTTTGCTCCAAAATCGTGGATGGAAGACAGCTTGAATAGAGCTGACAATATTTTTCCTTTTCAGGTGAGTATGTTCTATTATACCCATAAGGAAAATAACACATGACTGCATTAAAATGCTGCAGAGAGCGTGGAATGGGGGTTTGAATAATACACTCTGATTGTGTTACTTCTGTGTTTGCAGCTAAAAAAAGCCATGCAGCTCACTTGAAATGCCACAGTGTGAATTACACTGAGCTGTGAATCATGGTGTTTGTTTTTTCAGTAGTGGTGATCGTATAAATATCTATTTCCCAGCGAACATCTCCAATTAGCCAGTTTCCATCAGCTTACTACTTATGTTAACAAGTAACTGCTGAACAAATCTACTTGTAAGCAGCACGTATATCCACTAAGAGGAGTAAGGAAAACAGTGCTGCCTAATGAGGTGTGAGAGATCTGGGGCCTTCTGAAATATTTGAAAACATAGTACATCTGAGAAAAGTATTAAGTGATTGTATTTTGCTTTAGAGAATCTCATGGGCTTGTAGTTCAGTGTAATTTTTGTGGTGTTTTTGGGGAAATAATCTTTTAACGTGATGATGATCAGCACATTTTGCTTTCCTCAGCAATGGCAGCGAATTTTAGTTACAGGCCATTAAAGCTCATTACCCAGAATAGATCTGGATGAGGTCAGGTGGTGGTCTCCTATGTTTTCAGATGGTCTCATCTTGACAGCAGACAGGTTGTGTGACACTTCAGCCCCTCCTTCTAGGCAGACTTTTTATGGGTTTGAGATGAGGTGTATAATGTTGAGTCTAGCCTGCAGTAAAATCTAAAGCTCTTCATCTGACCACTCATCAAAGTTTGTTTATTTTTTTGCATGTGTGTGTGTCCACCTTTTGTGAAGTCTTTTTAAGTGGTTTCTGAAGACTATGATTTCTTTAATATGAAATGGGTTGCTTTTAAAGGCCTTCAAATGAGGGCAAAAGTGAGAATTCTGGAATGATTGCACTGTTGTTAGCCATGGTGTAAGAAGCAGGGTGACCTACTTTAAAATAATTTGAAAGATTCTAGATAAGAAGCAGTGTGTCTCATGTTCCAAACCACCTGAGAGATATAAATATGTGTAATAATGACACTGTGGATTCAGACATAGCAGCATTCAGTTCTCCTTAGTGAACTGTTCAGTTTCTGCTTGGTTTGCAGGGCCAGCCTATGCAGCCTTCAGACAACCAAGCAGCTGCTGGCGATAACTTTCCATTAGAGATCTTTCTTTCTGCTGCAGGGCTGGCTGGTTCAGTATCAGGTACAGTCCATGTAAATTTAGAATGCACGGTAGCACTTGATGTTAATATCAGAATTTGTAATTCATATAATGAACCTGTGTCCAGCAAACTGAATTTATACACTGAAGGCATTAGAAAAAGGGACACAGCTGGAGTCGGTCTTTTTTCAGCCTCACTGCAGCGCGACTTGGCTCGCAGTGTAATTCATTCTTTACCCTGACACGTAGCTGATGCACAGAGTGACAGAATGAGATCAAGCGTGCCCTTGCTGCTGCGTGTAAGGCCCAAATGTATGTGCACCAATAGAAGTGTGCTTGTTTTGACATCAAGGAAATTTCAGCAAAGTGACAAAGTCAACCTTGACTTTTGGGTTGCGTTCCAACATAAAACACCCGACATGCTAATTTTGATCACAGTAAAGAAATAATTTTTGTGTGGCCTGTTGGTATCTGTTTACATGAATGCTGAAATGAAGCTGTACATGTCAAGACCAAGTCTGACGCTTCTTCATGCCAAGAAAAGAAAAAGTGTTGGAGTGAAGTGCTTTCCAGTCTGTTACAATCGCTTCTGTGAAGAAAAGGGCTGGGCAGCAGAGCAGGACTTCATCACTGCAGGCCTAGAAAGATGCTGATTAATTCTGAAGCCATCTTCACAGAATCACAGAATGGCAGGGTTGGAAGGAACCTCAAGGATCACGAATCTCCAACCCCCTGCCACAGGCAGGGCCACCAACCTCCCCATTTAATGCTAGAGGAGGCTGCCCAGGGCCCCATCCAATCTGGCCTTGAACACCTCTAGGGATGGGGAATCCACAACGTTTCTGGGCAGTGTGTTCCAGCACCTCACCACTTATAACTTTTTTTTTGTGTGCAAAATCTTCAGCTCCTTTGGTCACTTTGTGCTGTTTTGAATTTTTGAATCACTGGAAACAAATGATGTAAGATTTGACCTTTTTCTTTTTTTTTTTTTTTTCTGGATTATTCTCATTGTGTGCCTGACTCAAAGCAGAAATAAGGAGTTTTGCTTATTGTATATTTGTGTTCATGCATATATACATTAATGTGAACTATCCTCAGTGATGCAATCACGTACTGGTCAAAGCTATTTTGTTACTGGAATCTTCTTGGATTCCTGTTTAGGAAATAATTGAAAGCTGTCTTTGCTGCAACAACATAATGGGGTAATTTGATACAACTAACCCTTTCATTCAATATTTATGTTTTGCTGCTTAAATCATTAACAAGTGTTGCTGCAGCCTAGTGAGAGTGAGTTTCTTTAGAAAGCAAGCTGTAAACCAGCAGTTGCAGATACCTGGGGATCTCTTATTTTTTTCCAAAGGTTGTCTTTACTCCAAAGCTCGGGGAAGCACAGAGGTCTATGTTTAGATGCAAATCTTAGGGTAGCCAAGCGTAAGTGCTAATTTCCAATTTGGAGAGGACGCCATGGCATGATGTCCCCAAAAGCCACCCATGTGAACTGCTGCTCACTTGAAAAACGTCTGACTTCTGTGTTTAAATAGGCGTCCCAAACAGCGCAGATGGAAGGAAAATCCCATGTTGATCTGCTTGATAATCTTACAGTTTGGTGGTAGCTTGCTTGGTATTTGAGAGTTACTACAAACCACCGTGTTGTTTGTTGTCTGTATTCTTTATTTGGAATTCTGCCTCGTCGCACTTCAGAAGTGGCACATCTCTAGGAACCTCGTGTTGCAGAGATGGAACTTGAAGCGAGGTCAGAGAAGACTACCACCAAATGTGTTAATGAAATGAAGTTTTGATATTGTGCTCTAACTGCTGGGCAGCCTTCCCCCTTCAAAGATCTTTTGAAAAGAGAAAAGCCATTGTTCTTTGTATGTTCATTTGAAAAGGAAATGGTGTCCAAAAGAAAAAACGGTTCCTGAATAATAAAAAATAG